TCTAATAAGCCATCTTGTTAGTCTTTAAAGTGCTACATAGTCCTGTATTTTGTTTCAGGTGTAAACAAGCTTTCTTGCTGTTTCCAACTCCCAGTCGGTTTCTCAACTTTGAATTAACTATTCATTGAACAGAACTAGATGAATAAACTGAAACAAAGAAAACGATTCTCTGTATTTGCAGAAGAAGCTTCTGCTGGCAAAAGTTGTTTTAGCACTTTACCAAACTGTTTTCTAGTGCTTAGCCAGTGACTTTCACCAGTCCAGTGGTTTGACTTTCTTTAAAATCTGACAGGAAATATACGCTGCTTATTATTGTTTGTGTTTCATGTCAGTGGTTTTAATAATTATAGTAAGGTTAGGCCTTAACATAGGTCACCAGCATCAAGTTTAAGTTTAAATAGGTTTAAATTTTAAAAATAAAACATCTAATTTAAATTTTAAAAATCCAATTATTTTTAAATCTTCATTTTTTTTTTATCTAACTCGGTTGCAGCCTCAGACAATAACCTGTCAGCTCATGCTTCATATCAGTGTTCTTACAACAGTGAGCTCAATTGCAACAGCAGGTGTACTTTTCCTTGTAAAAGGCCACTAATTGAGAAGAAAGGAGAAAGTTCCAGCAAAAAGTCATTTGAAATACAAAAGCAAATAATCTTGGCATTCTAACAGCACTTTTCTCCTAAACATATGTGCTGCTAAATTTAGATCTCCCCCTCCCCTCTCTCTCTCTCTCTCTCTCTCTCTCTCTCTCTCTCACACACACACACACACACACACACACACACACACACAGACACACACACGTTATTATGTATTTAACTTTAAAAAGATAAACTAACTGGATTCTAAAAGAAGAATGCTAGAAATAGTCCCCTTCCTTCCCATCAACACACACACACACACACACACACACACACACACACACGCACACACACACACTTGTAGTGGTTGGTTTGGAGCATATTGACAATACTCCATGACTTTGAGCTCCAGTGCTGTCAATCTGGAATCTGTCATTAGCATGAACATTCACTTTAAAAAGATGGAATGATGACCTCAGTCCCTGGCCTAGCCCTCCCAGCACATCATTAGTCAGACTAGTCTTCACACCTCACTCATTACTGAAAGAGTAAAGGCATTTACAGAACCCTATGGCTACGTCTACACTGGCCCCTTTTCCGGAAGGGGCATGTAAATTTCACGAGTCGTCGTAGGGAAATCCGCGGGGGATTTAAATATCCCCCGCGGCATTTAAATAAAAATGTCCGCCGCTTTTTTCCGGCTTTTAAAAAAGCCGGAAAAGAGCGTCTAGACTGGCCCCGATCCTCCGGAAAAAGTGCCCTTTTCCGGAGGCTCTTATTCCGGACTGGTTGTCGTGATCCTGCAGCACGAAGTGGTCAGTCTGCATCAACTGCGCCATGAACTGCAGCAGGAAGCCCAAGAGCCCGCCACTGCTTTGCAGCAGCTCCAGCTCCATGTTGGAAGTGCTGTGGCATCCACAAGGGCCCCCAGAGCACGCGGCGTGAATTTGCTGTCCCTTGAGGGGGTAGGAGGAGTGTGAGACGTGACTGTAGAGGGGAGCCCCTTTAAGTCTGAGTCTCAGCTAGCCTCAGGAAGCAGCTCCAGGAAGTGGCTGCTCTCTTGATGCCCTGCCCGGAGTGCTTCTGGGGGGGTTTAAATGCGATTCAGGGTCCCATCAGCTATTTCAATATAGCTCTGCACTATTTCGATGGGGACTTGCAGTATGGATGAGCTATTTTGAAATAGTTATTTTGGGACTTATTTTGAAAAAATCTCGTAGTGTAGACATGGCCTCTGTGATTAAAAGGACTTTTTCATAGAAACTTACAATTCAAAGTTCTGTTCAAAGAGATTTAATGCCTCTTCCTAGTGTATTAGTCAAAAGCCATCTGCAAAGAACTGTATATGGGTGCAAAAAAATGAGACACTTAGAAATCCACATGGTTTCCACCAATTTGGATCTTTAAGCAGCTGGCTGCCATTCCCCCAGCAGCATCCATGGGTAGATTTCCTTCATAACCTAATGCTGTTTTCTCACTATCGTCCTACACAGGGCAGATTATTTGACTGCCTGCTGTTATTTTCTCCCTGAAGCTTCTTTACTCAGGCTGTCTCATTCAGCTGCTGTTTTGTGTCCCTCCCCTTTCTGCTTCTACTATAACAGGCCAAGGACTTGCTTACATCCTGCCCTTGCTCCTGCAGCTGCTTTCCCTGAATGATTTTAGGCTAGACGCCCATAGAGTCAGCTTCTTTTCAGTTCTCTTCTCCCCACCCCTATGCCACAGAATAACATAGCCCGATGCAATCTTTCTCACTCCACCTAGCTCTTCCAATCTTGTTGTGATAGAAAGTGCCAGTTTGTGATGTTCACACACATACTCTAGGTAAAGACAGAAAGGCAAACAGAGATTTCCCAGGACGCTGTCTAAGAATCTCAAATGAGTTGAGGGGAGAAGATGATTCACTACTGACAGGAGGACTCTGTAACAGATGGCACAGAAAACAGGTTCTGTTATATTTGCTCACACAGTAAGGTCTTTATGTGATAGTCTTCAGGGAAGTTTGTTTCACGGGTGTAGTAATTTATTGTCTGGCAGGAAAACATTGCCATGAGAGCAGGTCCTTTTGTACATAGATCTTACAATGCACACGGCTGCTTGTGGATGGTGTTCGCCCTTGTAGCTTGGATTTCCATCAAATAAACATGTTATTGCTAGAATTTTTTCATGACAGGAAAAACAATTTAGTTGTTCCCGCAGTGGGGCTCTTGAGTATTTAGCTCCTTAAAAGATTCTCTCAATCCCACATAAAAATGTAAGTACTGTTTCAAAAGAGAACACTTCTCTGCTCAATTTGGAGAATTTGAAGGTAGTAATTAAACCAACAGGCATATCTGTCTAATAGGGTTTGCAGGTTACGACCCGCCAACTTATTGAAAACATTTTGCAGATTACAAGCAATAAGAAATGGCTACTGTGTATTTAAACAATGAAATGCCATTTGTGTAGTCTAGTGAGCAGAGTGCAACAGCCCTGGATTCCATTCCCCACTTTTCTTCTCTCTGTGAAGCTGCAGGCAAGTCATTTAGGCATGTGACACTCACTAGGCACACTCCAAACTAAGGGAGGGCTGTGTCACCCTTGTCCTATAGCATCAGGTGCCTTACAATGCCTTGTAGTAGTTCCCAGCAGGGATGTTCACAAACAGCCTTCCATATGCAAGCCACATCCCGAGGCCACTTAAATTGTGCAGCTGAAGTTGATATATCTTACATCGCATTTCCATTCCGTCCACTTAGTGGAAGGTGAATGGAAGCCAATGTTTCCACTGGTTTCCTTTACTCCTCAAGAGGAGCAGGAGCACTGACTCCAACGGGGGGCCCTCTGAGTTCGATTTAGCGGGCAGATTGACTGTGGCAGTGTCGATCTTCTACATAGACATTTCCTGAGTGTTCCCATGTAACTGTAGATGGCATTCTAGCACTATCAACCTTGGTTATACTACAGGGTGACCCTAATACACCCCCAGTCCCAGATCTTCCTCCAGAAATATATTCTCTGCAACTGCCCTACCCTCTCCTAATCTGTACAAATATATTTTTCCCTTAAAGGAAAAACAGACATAATGCACCAATTTATCACATTACATAAGTACCAGACACTTCAACTTAAACACACTGAATTAAATAAAACAGTAAAACAAGGTGTGAGGATTTAAAAAAAACTACAATGAGATAGATGCTAAGTGAGTGTTAGTAATGATGCACAAAAAGTCAGAAGTGGTTACAGAAAAATAAAGATAAAATGCTTAATAGGATCTACTTAACAAATGGTCTTAGCTGCAAAGCAAACGCTCTCCCCACATACGTCCAGCAAGGTTACTGAAACTCTACAGGTCAGGACCAAGGTTCCCTGTAAGAGGCATGCCTGCATTTGCCACATAATAGAGTTCTGGCTCTTATGAGTCAGAAGTAGCAAGTACTAGGTGTGATACTAGTTGTTTTGTAGGATGAAAACTTTTTTACAAGCTCTTTGAAACATGGATCTGTCTACAGACCCTGAAGAAACCATATGTTAATTTGTTCTGGGGTTTCTCTGAGTTTTGAGATATGTGCGTGCATGCACATCCTTTGTTGCACATCTACACACTACCTCAATAGTGGCATTGCACATAAGAAATTTCAACCTACCCAAAAGAAAATTCAACCCGCTCAAGACTAGAAAATGTTAGAGGGAACACTGGTCAGGACCCTTTCCCCCAAGCATCCAAGAGCTGTTTCCCTTTTTCTTCTCAAGTGCAGAGAATGAGTGGGATACGAAGAGAGAGAAAGATGTGTTGAGCTGTTTGTCCCTCAATCTATTTCCTTGTAAAGCATTTTCAGCTGAGAGTCAGCATACAAACTGTCTATGTAGATGATTCTTTTTCAGCCTGTTAGAACAACCTTTGTTTTTCCTCCCTTCTTGATGACTCTCTTTACTGCTTAAATGCAAACTAAGGCAATCATGCATTCTTTCCTGGTTTTAGAACAGACCTGACTTTTGCCTGGGCAAAGCTGGGGAGTTGGAACTTGTATTCATAATGTCATACAGAGAAATCATATAATTTCACATACAATATCGCCACACCTGTATTATTAGGACTATACTGACTAGCAAATTATGAGTTTTCAAAAACGTTACAAGGCATACTTTGCACAAAGACTATCTTAACGTGTAGAGTATGACTGAAGGCGTGTTTTCCACCAGAGCAGATGCTTAAATGTTTTATTTAACTAGAACTTTAATCTCTGCTCCACATCTTACCTGATTATAGGAGTTCTCAAGGAATCGAGAAATTCTGCAAATAACCAGGTGTTTGGCAAAGTATCACTGGAGGTGGTCCCCAAACTCTGACATGCAGACTCCAAGCCTGCTGCACTATGTCCTGTTATTTTCTTCAAGATTGAATGGTTATTAAGGTTGCATTCTATTACTTTATAGGTGGGGTCAATTGAGGAACAAAGAGGTAGATGCCCTGATCTTCTAAAGGTGAGTAGCACTACAGCCAACGTGTGTGCAGTTCTTTTGAAAATCAGGCCATAAGTGACTTGCTTAATGGTAAACTGCAGTTAAGTCCAAACACAAGCAAAAATGCACCCCCGGAAGTCCAATTTAAGTCTTGATTTTCAAATCTTAGATTCTAATGTCAGTAGGGACAACTGTGATCATGTAATTTGACATGCATGGCAGGATTTGTTGCTTCCTTAAAGTAATTGCAGTTTGAACTATGGCACATCTTTTTAGAAAGTATCACTTGTGTGATTTTAGACATGTTCTAATTCTCTGCGTCTTAGCAGATTGCACGATATTGTTTGTTTTTTCCATACAGTAGTACTGCTAAATGACATAATTTTCCTACTGTAAAAACATAAATACAGACAGTCCCCGGGTTACGTACAAGATAGGGACTATAGGTTTGTTCTTAAGTTGAATTTGTATGTAAGTCGGAACTGGCTCCAGATTCAGCCGCTGCTGAAACTGATCAGCGGCTGACCACAGGAAGCCCTAGGCAGAGTTGCTCTGCCCCCAGCTTCCTGGAATCAGCCGCTGATCAGTTTCAACAGCGGCTGACTTGAGGACACCTGGGGTAGAGCAGCTGGGGGGCTGCCGGGGTGGGCCTGCAGCCCCGAGGGGCAGCGCTACGAGACCAACCCAGCACCACCCTAGCTGCTCCGCTCCCCGCTTCACCCA